AAAAATTTCATTTATATGAGAGTCGAAATATAATACGCATTTTTCCAAACTGATGGAATTTTTTCATATTTAGAAGGGAAACTAAAAAGGGAAACTATCCAAAAATGTGATTTATAAAAAAAAAAATTTTTTTTCATATTGTTAGATCGTTTATATTTTGTTTTTGAATTCGTTTGATATTGTTTTTTTCATATTGTAATATGCATTATATAGTACGTGAAAGTACCACAAAATTAATTGGAGTATGAGATAATTACAATAACTAATAGTCTGCATTAATTAACTAATAGTAATGAAATACCGATTTTTCTACATACTTAATTACTTTTTATCTCTCATAGGACCCTCTATGGGCCGAAACGAATGTTGCTCCCTAAAATTATTCTTCATAAGGCATACATCCTACTAGTTTATTTCAAAATTGACGAGCCACACTTCCCTAGTTTCCCTTGTTAGTATGTGAAGTAGTGCAGAAAAATAACTTTTTCATCTATCTGCAAATTCATAAGTTATCAGTTAAGTTGACTTAAAACAAATTTCAAGTAATTTTAAAAAATTTCTCTTCTGCCTAAATTACGAGACATTAATTAGAATTTAATTTATTCTAATTAAACATAATTTATTTTATACATGTATTCCAGCTTCTTTTGCATCTTGAATTACCAAACCTTTAACCTCATAAAATTTAGTGCAAATGAAATTATCATCTATAAGAAAAATTGAATCTAAATGTATAGAGAGTTAACTAGTCAATTTGATAAATGTTATGAGTTCCGTTAAAAAATTTTAATTACAGATGGTAAATATTTCTTCTCCAAATTACCTTTTTTTTAAATTTAAAGAAATAAAAATGTGATTTAGCTATGATGTTGCTTAACAATTATTTATTGCAAATTATATTTTAAATCCACATAAGTTGAACAACCAACTATACTTTTTATGATTCAAATAAATCTTTATTCAATCTATTGATATTTACTAGTAAGAAATTTTGAACCAAATAATTGGAATACTTTCAGGTGGGAGACTAGTCACATAAAAAAAAAAATATAATAATAAGAATTAATTCTTATATTGTGAAAATATTTCGTGTTGAACATTTAACAAAACGTGTTGAACATTTAAAATAGTGTTTAAAAGGCATAAGATTCATATTTTATAAGATACTAAAGAATGAATTTAAGAGGATAAAAAAAATGTATATACCGAAATTAAAACTTCAAAAATTTTTTTTTTTAAAAATTAATATAGGAAAAAAATCAGGCATATTTCGTCAAATGTGTAGGTGAATTTAAATGAGTTATATAAACTTTGCAGGTGCAGAATACAGTAAAATTTTTTTACTCATTCTTCATACAAACAATACTTTTTCATGAATGACATTAATATAATTATTTTTACATTTACATTATGTATCAAGATATAAATACAAGAGATTGTCACATCACTCTAAATTATAGAAATGTAGAGGGGAAAAGTTAGCATTGCTACTAAAAGCTAAAATTGTTTTCTTAATGCAATCATACAAAAAATAAATAAATAAAAATGCAGACAAGATATGAAAAATTAAAATAACTGGCGGTGAATCATTTGTTCTTATAAATACTATCTTGCAATAATATTGCTTAACTAGCAAAACAAAAGAAACTATTCAAAAGAAAACTTAAACCTGTCATGGTTAAAAACAAATATATAGAATAACAAAAGAAAAGTATTAGAAACATATTTTAAGTATTGTACTATTAATAAAATGAGCAAAATTATTATGTACTGGTATTATGTAACCAATTTCATGGGTAACTACAATATTTAAAAATATTTTTTTCTCCCCTAATTGTATAAAAATTACATTGAATTCTCCCACCAAAAGCTTAAAAACTATTTACCAATAGCATTGCATTTTTGACAATTTTGCACAATTTGTATTATACAAAAAAAAAAATTAAAAAAAATTACATTTTGAAATGTGTTTTACCAAAATAGCCAAACAGAAGAAATCATTCAAAGGGAAGTTTTTAAGCCTGACAGTGTTGTTAGATGCTTTAACCAACTGAAGCAAAATATAATTTGTTTTTTCATCACCACTCGTAAAATAACAAATTTTAAATAAGCCTTAGAAGAAATTCCTTAGAATTTTAATGAAAATGCTTAAAATTCCAAAAGCTAATATTTCTTTAATGCAATCATATAACAAAGAATAAGAACAAAACACGGACAATTAAAGTAATAATTTATTTACTAGTAGTAGTGCATTCATACTAGTAGTGGATTCATTATTTTCTAAAGAAAAAAAAAACAATTTTGTTATGTAATCAACACAACATACAACACAAACCAACTGAAACATCGATCGTGATGCATGATGTCTGAGCGGAAGATCATTTTCAGTACCCCCTATTCAACTATAACTCCTCCTTCTTTCGAGGCGGCCCTGAACTAACCCGCATTTGCGTTACATGGAGAGGAAGACCACGAGACCCACGGTAAGCCAGAGGAAAAGGTGACTCTAGCCCATGATCCGTCCACCACTGTGGTCATTTTATGTCATCATTGTGGTCGGTGCAAGCTGGATGCGGAATTCGTATTGACCAAACATCGCTGGGATTCGAATCCGGTTCACATCATTGGAAGGCTCTATCCCCTGAGCCCATCACGAGTTATTTTTTGCCTTTTTAGACTAGCCCTGTTTTGCAACATCCTCTCACTTTAACACCTGTAGACCGTTCTAATTGCAAATCACTTAGATCCTTAGTTTATTTATAGCTAGTACAGAAGTACAGTGTTTAAGAAAAAGCAAAAACATTAGTTTCTGAATTCAATTTGACAGTGTATCAAAATAGTTAATCTTCTTCTTTTGTTATGTTTGAATTACTGAAAAATATATCTCATTTTATTTAAATATAAATGTTTTAAGACAATTATATGCTATTTGAAATTTTAAGAAACATTTATTTCAAAATTAGTACTTGTATAATTACAAGGGACTTTTTTAATAGGAAAAACAATCGCAAACTTTAAAATTTTAATGTAGATATAGGTTCAGATATTCCCGAATTTTGTGCACGTTCAGAAGACCACTGTTTTCTACTCAAGTAAATGAGGATTTTAAAATAGTCGGATATAGGTGGTCAGCTGGATAAAATAGGATTTTAAAATATCGATTTTCAACCCAACATCTCTCTATTTTTAATTAATAATGAAAATTTGATACACAATCTAACTTTAGAGGTGATGAATTCAAGTTCATGCACTTTTATAATATTTTCAGCCGATCCAGCAACAAATCATGTAGGTTGAATTTCGTAGTTTTACAACTATCGTATCTTATGATTTTAAAATTGATTGGCTACTATCAATACAGTAATCATGAGCCACAATGACTCAGGGGATGGAGAGTTCGCCTTATAATGAGGTGAACTGGGTTCAAGTCCCAAAGAGATACGAATTCCGCATCCAGCTTGCACCGACCACAGTGCTGACGCAAAATATCCTCAGTGGTAAACGGATCATGGGTTACAGTCACCTGCCGTCGGAATAACTATGGGAGTATTTCGTAGTTTACCTCACCATGTAACGCAAATGCGGCTAGTTCCATCAAAAAGTCCTTCGCGAAGGCAAATTTCTCCCAATATCCAGGAGTTCCCTTGTCTTCTGGTTTGGGTTTAAAATCACAAGGCTTTGGAGTTAAACATAAGTAATCATAAATAAAAAAAATTGGGTTGGCTGTTCAACGACGGTTAGAATATAAAATAAAATAAAATAAAGTACAGTAATCATAAAATGGAATTTATGGATTTCGAATTGGGAGATCATTTAACAATTAAATTTTTTTTCTTTCTTTTCATTTCTTTTTTTTTATTATTATTTTTGAAATCCTACTTTAATATTATTTGATTAAGAAATTCTTGAACTGTATTAAAAATCTTAATAAAATATGATTGCTATTACGAAAGATTACTAACTAACTGATGCCTTTTATTCTTTTTATGCAACATTGCTATAAGAATTTTCTATATATTGATATTAAGTTATTAGTAAATGTTTAGTGTTCTATTAATTAAATTGTGCTAAAAACTTTTAAAACTTTATGTTCTAAATAAAATAACTATGTAAAATAGTATATAGTAAGTACATTATAGTATGTTGTTGTATACTGTCACTTCTCCAAATTGGAATTGAATGTACATATCTGGGACCATTCGGAATAACAAGTTACACAGTTAAGTTGATTTAGCGGTGTTTTTACAGCAGTACATCATACAGGAGCTTTTATCTCAGTTTACGACCTTATCGCATATCCTACATTTGCAATATTTGCAATAATTCTAAAGAGTTATTCTAAAGCCTCCATTCATTTGTATTTTTTTCTTGCATTAAATGATAATTTACTTGCTTTGACTTCATACTAACATAAGTAAAATTTTGTTTCATTCTGGTGTGCTAATTTTTACGGCTATTGTTATATATAATAGTATTTTATAACAATAACAATGTAATAATATATAATGTTAACAATTTTAATTAGAAGTATAAACATAATATTGAGTTATTATTAATATAGTTATAGTTAAACAGAAATTTGGTTGTAAAGAAATAGCACACACACACATAAATGTATATGTATCATAAATTTAAAAAAAAAATTCAATTTAGAAAAAAAAAATTATTTAAATTTATGATTTTCATCATTCTTACTTAATTTCAGTTCTCTAGTTATCATATTAAAAGGTGTTGTATATATATATTTAGCTTTTTCAATAAAAATCTCTGTGTGATATAAACTTTTTTACCATTTCATAAATAATAAATTTAATTAATTAACAGGATTATATTTGAATTGAGCTCTAAAGTATGTTTTTCTTTTTCAGGTTTTAAATATCTTATTTTTAATAAATCCTATTTTTGCAATATTTTTAAATGTCCTATTTTTGTAATATTTTTAAATATTTTATATTTTTATAATATCCTATTTTTTGTAGCACAATGTATTTTTAACTTTTGCAGTTATAATGGGGTTTTAGAACTAATTGTACCTTCTATTATGGAAGAATTTTACGCTTCACAAGAGACAAAAGGTAGTTATATATTTTTTCATTTTATGTATTTGTTACAGTTTAAGTGCAGAAATCAGTTAATCTACCGAATATCTCGCTAATGTGAATTAAATGAGGACGATTCCAATTCTTTCAATTTATTTTTCATAGGCATTTTATTTTTAATAATTTCGTAAATACAACCAAAATATTAATTAAATATTTTTATTACTTATTGGATCTAAATATAAGTACAAGTTTCTAAAATGTTCTTGGAACCCTTTTCACTCTTCCACGGAACCGTGTAACACTGTACGGGAACCACTGACCTAAACTAAGATAAAATACTGATAGAATCCGGCTAGGAGAAAAAATTTATAGCTACTAATAAGCAATTCATTTTCAACAATATTTGTGCATATAAGGATGTAGATGATTATAATAAATATTATTTATGTTTTAGGTACGGTTAGTGGTGGAAATAGTCTGGCCATTATCTTTATTTCGTATTCTTATGTGGGTTAGAAGCAAAGGCTTAAAGTATGCTGCCCATCAATGTAAGTGCATTTATTTATCAATCCCTGTGTAACAAATTACCTTTTTAATATTGTAATTTCAACGAGATTTTGGATTTTTTTTTAATCGGTTAAGACATTTGAAAACTGTGATTATATTTACATAAATACAGTTTTTAATATCCTTTTAAATTTAAATCAGTTAAATGCGATTATTATTTATTAATAGCAATTTCTGTTGAATTATATTACTACTAATAGTAATATTTAGGCTACAAAAAAGTATGTTAAAAAAACTAAAATACTAAAAATGTGACTTTTTTCCTCAAATTTTATTTTTAAATTTGAATTGTCATTGAAATTTAATATTTTAGTGAACTTTATTTCACATTCATATATTTTTTTTAATGTTGGATAATTTCTTTATGTGAAATTTTCTAATATTTTTGCCTTTTATACTCTATTTGTGTATATGTTACTGTGAATGACCAAAATGTTGTTGACTTCCACCGGTGAATGTTGACAGTTTCACTTTGGTAAATGTCTTTACTAGGTCTAATTAAGTGCCCGGTATACAGTTTACCCTACTCTGATGTTATTTTAAGGTTCAGTGCCATTTGCATTTAACCAGTTTATGTTTAACATACATTTAACCAGTACTCCAAACTGATGTTTCTCCTAATCTATCCTCAGCAGATATTAAAATATCGAATAAACATAATAATATCAACGAATAAATCAAATTAGATATAACAAGTACTTCGGACATTCACCAATGCCACTATGTGATTGTTGACATTCATCGGTGAAAGTGGACACTGTTTTTTTTTACTAAAACGAGTTCCTATTCAAAATATGAATTCTGTACCTCTTCAACCATCTATAGATAGTCTCATTCATTATTCTTCTATCTATAGATAGACAAAAAAAAAGTATTTTAACCGGAATTTAGAAAAAATAATTTTTTAACCGGTATAACCGTAATAAGAAAAGTGATACCATGAACTACTAATGATAGTTCAATTTGTTTTTTAGACTAAAAAAACTAATGATAATTCAATTTTTTTTAATGGTAAATTATGTACTTAACTGCCAAACCGTAGGAAAAATTACATAATTGTTGTTAATCTGGACTATTAAATGCTAACTGAGATTAATAAATGTGCTGAAATGTTAATCAAGATTGATAGCATCTGCTTCCTTTGTGCTGAATGATACTGTGTATGAGGTTAACTTTTTATGATAGTTAAAGTGAAATTCTTTTCTTAATCATATAATGGTCTCACTAGGAGAGACAATAAACAACAATAGAAAATTTTGAAATAATTATAATCTATTATTTCAAAATTTTCTTTTAACAGTTGAAGATTATCCTATGTTTGATAATATATCTTTTATACCTCTTTATATTTCATTTTTTTGAAAATTGGAAGTTGATAAAAAAAGCATGGTTTTTGGCAATAATTAGCAAGTTTCTGCAGATCCTAGGTTTTAAGTAAGTGTTCATATGTTAATTTTATTAGTTGTATCAATATAGAGAAAATCAATTAGTATTTTTTTTGGAAGAAGTTTTTAAAAATGGTCTCTATCTAAAAGTCCTTTTATCCCCTCTAAGTCTCTTTTTTTGAAGTTTTAAGCTGTTAAACACCCTAATTATGTTAACATTTTAATCAATTACACAAGATTTTTTAAATTTTTTAATGCCATTGACTGAATTCTGGGCCATAGTTATAATCAAAATTATATTTCCAGGCTATTTTGATGAAAAAGGTATGCCTTTAGCTGGTATTTTACCCTTTCTACAAAATTCTATACGCACGTTTAATAACACCTGTTACCCTACTATGCACACAGAAGATGCAAGAGATACATTACTTCAATTAAATTCCTCATCGTAAATTAATCATTATTTTCCTTTAAAAACAAATTATTGAAGGTATTAGATTATAACTTTTTTTAATTGAATTAAATCAGTACGTAATGTAATAAATGTTATGCATACTCATTAACATCTTTATGCTACATTAAAATCCAGAATGTTCCAGTTTATATGCTCAGAAGGTTAAAATTTCTATTTTGTAATAAGGCCAACATTAAAAGTGTTTCAGTAATTTTGAAATCAATTACTCTATTATTAAAAAAATAAGGAGTAATTTAATTTTTAATTAGTTAAGGAATTTGTGGAAAAGTCTCTATGCAAAAAAATTTTTTATGTAAACATGCATAATATTTTTTAATAATTTCTCATGTTTAAATAAGTCAATTTTTTATTCAAAATTATTTTGAACATAGGTATAAATTAAGTTCTCCTGCAAAGTTCATCTCCTAAAAGTAGTGAAATAGTAACTATATTTCAAAAGTATTTTGCACTCACAAAATTTAAAAAAGTAGTTTGTAATAAAGTAGATAGTTAACTTCAAATTAATGTTGTTTTTCCAACTACTGGAATAAATAATGTCTGTGTTTACAACATTTTGTTATGATTGATTCATTGATAAACTTAAAATTTTCATTTTCTTTTGTATTAATTTTGTTAGTTAAGTAATATTTTGAATTTTTGCCGAAGCTTGAAATTCGGTGTTTAAATTATCAGCATTATTTTATTTTATTTTCAGCTGCCAAATGCAACAGCCTGTTTCGAACTTTAGAACAAAATAGACTAACTCGTATGCTATGGAGTCAGATGAAACCGTTTGTGAGAGGGAAAATTATTTATTCACCCAACAGCAAAGCTGCTTTCAAAATTATAACCAGAGTAAGTTGTTTTTCTCATTAATTGTTCAAATATGTAATTTGTAATAAGCATTTCAAAAATTTGAAACTTTTTTACTTTGCAGGAGAATGAAACCTTTTCTCCCCTTGTAAATGCCGTTGAGTTGAGCAACCAGTGGCTTGACACCTGGTCTGTTAAAATATCTGAAGTTTTGAGCAAAAGCCATGAGCAATTAGCTATTATTGAAGTAGTTATGTATTTCACTTTTTTAAAACAAATTAGCTTTAACTTAAATACATTTCTTAAAAATATGAGTCCCAAAGTGGATTGGTCGTAAAGACCCGTTAGAACGCCGAAGTCAACCATTACTGGCAGCAGTCAGTAAGCGGGGTGAGTGACCACTTTGATCAGCCTGTGTAGAAACCGAAGATGCACATTATCGGTCCTTGTTTAACTGTTCTACTGTAAAGTGCTCAACTTCACCTTTCGGATCGTCAGGCTACCAAAGCAGGGGAGCTATCTCCGCTGCAGAGGATCAAAATTGCGATGACAGGTCTTAAGATCATGATCTGTGATATTTTCCAGATCGCCGCTAATACCCCATTGTGCAGCTCTAGTGTGACGGAATTAAAGTACCTACCCTAATATGAAGCAAAATATTTTTTCTCTACAACCAGTTACAAAATTATTGTAATTTTTAAATTATTTACAATTTGTTGAAACAAAGCTTGCAAAAAATTTCTAGGCATTTTTTTTCCAACAATATTACCTATTAAGTAAGTTTGACTTTGGCGAGTTTCAGACTAAATAGCTTACCTCTGAACATATTATTAAACTATGTCAACAATCAGTATCAATCTTTGCTTAAAATTAAACACATTATTAAACTGTATCAACAATCAGTATCAATCGTTACTTAAACAATTATGATCACAAAATAAATAACTTACCTCTTAACACATTATTAAACTGTATCAACAATCCGTATCAATCTCTTCTTAAAATTAAACAATCATTCATGATTTAATTTAATCTCAAATGCATGCTCATAACAATTTTCAAATCTACTTTTTTTTCTATGAATTATTGCAGCCTGGTAACTTGCCATTTCAAGATTTGTTGGAGGAGCTGTTGTCTAATGTGACTGTTACCGGAAAAACAAATGAGACCTTGTTGATTGTGATAGAAACCATGAATGAAATAGCCAAAGAAATTCTCTCAAATTCAACTGCATGGTTAAATAAAATAAACAGTATGATTGAGGAGGTCAGGGATTACTTAGAGGTAGGTCGAAATTGTTTTCTCAAATCATTATTACCTTTAAAAGTAAAAGCAAGTTAATCAAATGTAAAAAAAATATTTACTCTAAATATTACTAAAAATAAGTTTACTAAAACCAATTTCGTAAGAAAATAAAGTTTGACCTACTCCAACAATTTCCATATAAGAAGGCTACTGAAATATAGTGTTATAAATATTTTTTACAAGACCTACTACATTTCATTATGAGTTAGTGAAAATGAAGTAATAACAAAACAGATAAATATATTTCCAATATAGTTCCAATTTATTAATAATATATCACTGAAATAAATTAGTTTAATTTTATTGTTATTGTAATGTTTGGCGATCGTTGGGGTGCACTTTGTCACCTCCTCGAAGGTATGTTAGAAATCAAGGTAGTTGTATGTTTGTCTTGGTCGGGAGAGGGTCTCCCTTGGTTATGTAAGAGCTGGAGGCTCTGAGTCAAATATAATGCCTAGTTTCTTTTGTTTTTGCATAAAGTTAAATTTATTGTTTTAAAATCTGGTGTAGTTATTTGTATGGAAGCCAGGCGTTACAGTTATTTTTCTACAACTTTTAGGAAAGCAAAAAAATAGGACTCTGAATGAAAAATAAAATTTACATAGTTCTTAATTCCCATACTCAATTCCCAACATTGAGCTATAGTTCAGGTATGAGAAGAATTGAAGTACTTTAATTACAACTAATTTGTTGTTTATACTGATCTTTATTTTCTCCCTTAGAAGGGGAAAAAAAGCATAAATTTTTGGGTTTTTGCTTATTTTGCAAGAAAGGCTGAGCAATCTATTTGAATTAGCATCTCTGTTGCATGTAATTTTTTCCTCTAACACTAAATGATTAAAAATATTATTTTCCCTTTGCAGTGTTTTGAATTGAATCGTTTTGTTGCGCTGAATACAGAGAAGGACATTGTGATGACTGAATTGGATCTTATTAAAGATAACAAACTTTGGGCTGGTGTTGTGTTCAACGATATAGAAAATCGAGATCAACTGCCTCATTTCATACAGTATAAAATAAGAATGGCGTCCAGTAAAGTGGACAGTACGAAGAGAGACGGGTTTGTCAAGTGTTTGGTTATGATCTAATTCCATTTACTATTTTTATTTAAATATGGTTGCATTTATTTCAGTAAATTAACTTTTTATTCAATTCCTATTAATTAGTTCACACTCTCCCAATAACTCGTTCAAATTTTTAATCGTTCATAAAATACTTTTTTATTCATCCACTCAAGTGTTCAAATACATTTTTTTATACTTGTAATCGATGACACTTGATGTTAATACAGTTTTTTCCAAATATTTAATTCATTCATTAAATAGGGATGAGCGAAAAACGAAATGGAATTTTCTGATGGGTTAAGCGTTAGTCGTTGTTTTAAATTTTACTATAAGCGATTCAGTTTTTCACATATTTTAAAAATAACATCTGTAATAATTTCTAACTTATAGCTCTATTTGAACAAAAAGATAGTTTATTGTACACATTTAAATATTTAATTGTTTTATATTCGTTGTGTCAGATAAATTCAATAAAGAACATGACGTGTGGTCCACGTCACCAAATGTATACTTTTTATAGTCGTCTGATTTTTTCAATTCCTTCTATTAGTTCATACTCTCCCTATATATATTTATATATCTTGTTCAAATTTTTAATTGTTAATAAAATACTTTTTATTCATCCATTAAACATACTTTGACTCATTCATTAATTTTAAACTTGTAGTGATTAACGCATGATGGTAATACAATTTTTTTAAATATTAATTCATTCATTAAATTTAATTAATTAATTTTAATTTTATACAGGGGAAAAAATTTTATTATTTAATAAAAAGTAACTAAAATAAAACTTTTCTTTGTTGACCTAAGTAGGAATTGACTTTAATTTTTTTTTAATTTTTTTTATTTATTGTGTAGTGAAAATTTAATGTAGAAGAACTTATTATGAAATAGTGATAGATTAAAAAAGTTGTAGTGGTATGCAAAACTAAAAAGTAATGGAATTATAATTCAAAAAAATTAAATAAATCTCATATGTATTTTCATTAATGAGTATTTTCATATTTTTTTCTGACTTTGGATTGTATTCAAAACTGTAAAAAGGGATTGGGTTAAATAAACCACATTTCTAAATAGTTCATTGAAGCATTAAGCACCCTCACTTCCATGTAGCTAATAAAATATTTTTGTGTGTTATGCTGTTATATGGTTGACACTTCAGACACTCATTGAGTATCTGGAAACAATACTAATGAACAGCCTGATGTGTATAAAAAAATTCACCTTTTGTTTTAAGTATGGTTATTGCTACAATGCCTCATGCTCTTTATATGCATAAAAACTGAATTTAATAAAAATGTTATAATTTTCATTCTTTTCATTATAAATTAAATGCATGTTTTTTTTGATGCAGTACATTTGTAAACTCAATTTTTTAAGCAAAATTAAAAAAGCAAACAAATGTAAATAGCTATTTTTATTTATTACTTTAAAGACTGCATTGGTGGTATATAAAGGAATTTTTTTTTTTTTTGCATTTTTAATAGGTTCAATAAATTTTCATGCTTGAATTACTCAATTTTCATATTTATGAGACTAAAACCAACATAATTTAAAGAATTAATCATGTCTGTTAAGACTGTTTGCAGTTAGTCAAGAAATAAGTATAATTACTTGATATTTTTATGATTGATAAATGACTATTCTTTTTTTATTTGAAAAAAATTGCATTGTATTGTATTTTTTCTTTGTTTAGAAGCCTGTTTAAAATTTAATTACAAATATTTTTTGCCTGCAGTTTCTGATATAATTTTTATTGTGACACAGGTTTCATACGCCTGGACCAAGAAGAAGACCAGGGATTGACATGAAGTATATCACATTTGGATTTGCTTATCTGCAAGACATGATTGAGCATGCAATCATCAGAGAACAGACAGGAAGAACACAGGAAACTGGAATTTACTTGCAGCAATTTTCACATCCATGCTACATATTTGATCAGTAAGGCTCCATTAGAAATGCATTTTCCTGATTTTCTAATTTTGTAATTTAGATATTCTATGTACACAGTCGAACCGAACCTCGTTAATGTGAAATCGGTGGTACTATAATAATTATTTGTGTTTACCAGATTTCATCTTATTCGATACATTATGAAAATAATTTATTACGTACTATTAATACATATTATGTGCTACATTTATGTACCAAACAGATTAAAATGAGCTCACAAATGTTAATAATTTCATTTAACATGGTGGGTAGTGTTTTTTAAAAGAGATTTTCTTTCCTTCACCATGGCGATTTTCGCCATGTATTAGGCAAAAACGTGCTTTTTACATTGTTCTATTCAATGTTATCATTGTTCTATTCAATGGGAACAAATTCATTCACTTTCAATTTCAAAAATGTGGTGACTGGGTGTGCCCTTTTGGGCCTCTCAGTCCCAACCGTTGAATATCTATCTCAACTGAAAATTCATGCTAACCAAAATCTCAGTGTAAGAGAATGTTTTATCCTTTTAAGGGATTTCTTTTCTTTATTAATTTTGAATTATGGCCATTTTCATTTTTAATAAATCCGATTTTCTTAAAAGATTTCATTTATTTCACTGAGACCATTTTATTACATCCAAATTACGATGTATATGTAACGGACAAAAATCAATGATGATATTTCAGCTACCACTAAAATATTAGTAATGGCGATCAACACCGTCATGCAGATCAACACCTCTATTTAAGAAAGTTGCTAAATCATGATAATAAGTTCGTTATATGGAAAATTTGTTAAATAGGAAATAACTTTTTGAAATACACAAAACAGGTTTTAAATTCATCAACACTAGACATAATTAAAATAACAATTGATACACCGTTATCTTGGAAACTAGTATCTACTATTTATTTTATTAATCCTAACCATAAAAGAAATCTGCATGGAGAAGCAAGAATAGAGCAACACATTATCAAGTGTTACGCTATCATGCTACATACATTTTTAGTTAAAAATAAGCTAAATTATGTATTAAATTATAGATGCATTTATTATAAAAGTAAATTTAAACATACATTACCACATTCGTTCATAAGTTTAATAACTATAGATATTATCCCTCAATTTTGTGTGAGTTTTTCTTTTGAAATGCAAACAAAAAAAAGTAAAGGATTTTACTGCTTTCTCTAAAAGTTAAGTGGTTTTGAAAATCAATTCAAGGTCATTTCCCTCATAAAATACGTTAACAAGTTTAAAATGTTCCTAAATATTTTGGGAATAGTGGATCTCAAATAAAGATTCGTTAAATTGAAAATTCACTTCATTATTTGGAAGTTATTTTACGAAGAAATTTCCAAAATGTTCTTGGTTCCTCGAAAATAATCACAAAATGGAAGTTCGTTAAATAGAAGTCCAACTGTATAGTTATTGCAATTTCTTTGTAAGATGTACTTTAAGATATATATTTATGTTAAAAAATGATTCGTCTCGTGATGTTCATTTTATGTATGTATGTTTAATGGATTTACATTTTTTAAAGGCCTTTAAAGGGGCTTTTTTTGTTCTGGGTTTGTGAAAGTGCTGAATTTTCTGTCTTTTAAAAAAAGATTATTATTTCTTTTTTTTGCCTTGTCAATTATCGTTCTAAGTGACAAAAAATACATGATTTCACAAGTTTCTGCAGTATTTATCAGAAACTAGTTATTTTATCATGATTATGTAAAAGTTTTTGAATTTTATTGATTTTTTGTTTATAAATTAAGTACTTTAAACGATAGAAAAAAATGATTTTTGTTGATGCACAGATCCTAATTATGATTTTTTTTCCTTCTGGAAAATGATTAAAAATACTTTTTGAGTGCTTAAAAAGTGCTTATTTTTTGTTGAAAAATCTGGCTACTCACCCTGCCCTCTCTGAAATACGCTATTCTTATTTTCGTAGCAGCAGACAGCCTCAGACTTTGTGGCAGGGGGAGTTCTTACCGTAGACAAATTATAGCAAAAATGTGTTTTTGACTTCAAACTTACTATAGTGTTTTATTTTTCAGTTTGGAAAAGTGATGGAGAACAGTGATCCTGGTGTGATATTTGTGTTTCTTTTGTGCTATTCTGTATCCACAATTATGTTATCATTTCTGTTTAGTACACTGTTCTCTAGAGCTAACCTGGCTGCAGCAGCAGGTGGCATGCTCTTCTTTATCATATACATCCCATATCCCTTTCTAGTCATGTGGGAGGATCAGATGTCGCTCGGCAAAAAACTAGCCAATGTAAGAACTCACTTTTTATGCACTAGGAATCCTAATTGTTTTCATTATTTTTATATATTGGAAGTGATCATTTCAATTTTGTGATTTTAGAGTCTGTCTTCCAATGTTTCTTTTGGGTTCGGTTGCAGTTACATCAGCCATTATGAAGAAGAGGGTGTCGGGGCTCAGTGGTCCAATATCCACGAAAGTCCCATTCCTGGTGATGATTACAGTATGTTACAGGTCATGGTAATGCTACTCTTTGATGGTTTTATTTATGGAGTCCTCACATGGTATATAGAAGCTATGTGCCCTGGTAATTTGATCCTTTTTAAAATAATACTGATCTATTTTAATTATTGTGTTTAACAGCATATATGTCTATAGAAACCCAAATTTTCTAAAAATCCTGCTTTGCAATATAAAATAGAGGTGGTTACGATTTGAGAATAGACTTTAGCATACTATCTAAAGCATAGGTTCTCAACCTTTTTAACGCTGCCGCCCCCTTAAGGAGTGAAAAAGAGTTTAAACGCCCCCTTTGTGAAAATTCAGTTATTTGGAGCATAGGGTGAGCTGAATTATAAGAGGTAACATTTTTAAGCAATATTCTTAGGCGTTAACTTTGTTTGATTTTTTAAAAAAATTAGTGTGAACGTTAACTCGATACTTTTCTCCCGGCAGGTAATCGCAATCTTTTTGTTATAATAAAAATAAATACGGTAATGAGAAAACAAACAAAGAAATCTATGCTAAAAAGAGTTATTTAAACTTAATTAGATAATTAAAAAAACATCAAAAATAATTTTTTACACTGAAACGTGGTATCAACCAAGCAATCAAGTAACTATGTCAGTGGGATGATTTTGCTTGATGGTTCAGAGCTAGTTTCTTAACATTCGGTTCAATATTTTCAGTGAGGTGAAGACGCAAGTCCCCTCGTTGCACGATTTCGAGTCGATTTCTCTTTTTTGTGACTAGATCCGTCACAGCACAGTCCAGGGTAGAGACGACTTATGTTATCTTGAAGCCAAAATTCTGTGAGACGATCACCATTCTGGAAGCTAGCTTTCAAAGTTTCATAAGTTGAAAGTTCGACCAATTCCTCCTGAATATGAACCTCTGCTGTTTCAATATTCACGTAAGGGTTCATAACCCATTGAGGAACTTCCAGGGTCAACACATTTTTAAAACGATTAGAAAAGTCCATGTGCAAAGACTCAAGATGTTGACAATATTCTTGTGTATCATCACAGGAAATTTCACCATTCTTTTTAATATTCGATAAGATCGGAAATTGGCTAAACTCATTCCTACCAAAATTCTGCTTTCACAAAATTAGTTTTTTTAGAAAGGCAGAAATAACTGATTTTGAAGTGATCAAATTGAGTTCGTCGCCTTGAAGTTGTAAATTAACACCATTAAATTTCGCAAATAAATCCGTCATGTGGGCAACGTCTATCTTAAATTCTAGCAATCTGTCTTTCAGAACTACATCTTTGTCTTCCAGGAACTCAAGCACAGAGTCAAAAAGATTCCAAAACCTATTGAGACAGGCGCCTTTGGAAAGCCAGCGAATTTCAGTGTGTAGTAGTAAACGATTGAATTCTTCATCGTTTATCTTGCATAGCTGTCTGAATAATCGATCGTTGAAAGCATCACAGCGAATTTTGTTCACAGCAGAGATAACGTATTGCAATGACTGATGCAAGCGGTCACTGAGATTTTTTGCAACTAAATGCTGTCTGTGAATTACGCAGTGAACAGCTAAAATATCTGGTACCTCCCTCTTCAAAAAGGCGATAAATCCACGATGTCGACCCACCATTGCAGGAGCTCCATCAGTGGCAACAGACATAATATTCGTAAGAGGAATGTTTTTCTCTTTAAAATAATCTTTGACAGTGTTAAAAATAGATTCTCCTTTGGTAACTATAATCAAGCTTCGAGCAAAAAGCATCTCCTGAACAGTTTTTCCTTCCTTAACAAACCGAACATACGCCAACAATAAAGCCTCATTACTTGGCAAGGTTGATTCATCAACTTGCAGGGAAAATTCATTCGATATCAAAAGTTTGCATAAGGACTCCTCAACATCTTCCGCCATCTCATCAATTCGTCGCCGAACTGTATCGTTGCTTAATGGGATATTTTTTATTACATTAGATGCTGCTGGATGGTGTAAAACTGTTTCTAAGACTTCCTTAACAGACGGCAGTATCAACTCTTCGCCGATGGTATGAGCTTTCCCAGATTTGGCAATTTTGCCATTTTATAAGAGGCTATCAAACCATCGTCGCATTTTTGGGACGAGGTTGCTAGTAAGCCTGAGACCGAAGGTGCCTTCAGAAACTTGTCCTTGATGTTCTTGAAAAATGACAAGTCTTTATTCTGTTTGTCAGGGTGAATTTTTTGCAAATGCTCCTGCCAACGAGAAGGTTTCATGGCCTTATTCGATAAAACTTTGTTACAAAGTAAACACATAGGTAGTTGAAAGTTCGATGGTGATTGAACAAATCCAAACTTCAAGTAAGTGGCATTGTATTGACGACCCTTCTTTTTGTTAAACGACATTGTTGGCGGCAGCAAAATGCAAAAGATGAAAGAAAATCAGCTATTTCTTAAAATTAATGAATAATATACTATAGAAAACTAATTCACACACGTACCTGGCCAAAGAAACAATGAAATCGAATCGAAACCTGGGAAAAAACTGAAAGAAGTGAATGAAAACTATCATAAGAAATACTGATCAAATCAAATATTCATACTAAAAGAGTTCAATTTTCGCCAAATGGCTTGAATGAGTCACAGCTATTGGAGACAGTCTTAGAAAATTCTTATTTTTTTCATTTAATATTAATTTAAGATTTATTTTACTTATTAAATTAATCTTAATTTAATAATTTTATTTGGGAGTTTTAAAACTAAATTTGAATGACTAACCATGCTCTTCGCCCCCATACTGCCCATAGCATATCCAACGCCCCCCTACTGCCCATAGCATATCCAACGCCCCCCCTACAGCCCAAAACAAGTTCACTGCCCCTCAGCATACTCCCACCGTCCCCGTTGAGAAACAATGATCTAAAGTCAATTCTGGCTGATAGCCTTACACCTATATAAAATGGATCTGGCTAGTGATTTTCATAGTTTTGTCGGAAATAGTTTTTGTGGTTGGAAGTACGAACTTTGACATGTAAGTGAACTTTCTAGTTAATGAATCTCTCCCAGAGCCATGGTTGCTCAGGGGATAGAGCGTTCGCCTTCCAATGAGGCTAACCGGGTTCGAATCCCAGTCGATACAAATTCCATATCCGGCTTGCACAGACCACAGTGCTGACGTGAAATATCCTCAGTGGTAGAAGGATCATGGGTTAGAGTCTCCTTCCAGTCAGGCTAACAGGGAGATTTTCATTGTTTTCCGCTCCATATAATGCAAATATGGGTTAGTTCCATCATACAGTCCTCCAAGAAGGTCAAACTTCTCCCAAAACTTGAGCCAGGAGTTCCCTTGTCTTCAGGATTGGGTTCAAAATTACAAGGCTGAGTTGGCCACAGTACTTAGATAGAGAAACAATGTGAGGTTCCACAGAGTTGATAAATAATTTTGGGTGATAATTGTAATAACTGGCAGGAGCTGGTACTATGCAAATCATTAAATAGATTCTATATTCATACCTTTTCATTTTAAGAGAATCAATTAGTAAATGAAATTTTAATTTTTCAGGTCAGTATGGCTTTCCAAAACCATGGTATTTCTTTGTCACTAAATCTTATTGGTGTGGTACAGAATTGAAAGAAGCACCAGTGACAGATATAGAAGCAAGATCCAACTTTAGTAAGTTTACATAATAAATAGTCTTTGTTTTAGAAGAACATATAGAAATGTTATTTTATTTACTAATTATTAAAAAAATATGATGTGTAGCGCTTTTTAAAAGGTGCTTATTTTCAGTTTTTAAAAGCCCTTAAGGGTGCTTTTTCCATTGGGTGTTTTTAAAAAGTGCTTCATTTTCCCTTTTTGAAAATGAGATTTTTTTTCTATACTATGTCGATTTTCTTTACTATGTGTATTATGCAAAAACGTGCTTTTCACATTGTTCTATTTTAATGTTATTCACAATTCATTGAACCAAAATCTATTTCGGCGTACCCTTTGTCCATATATAAAAACGCCAATCATTTTGCATGTTTGATGAAATACTTGTGACTCTGCGTGTGCATATACTGGGTTCGGAGAGATTATTGCACTCTCGCGTGCAACTCTGCTGCATTTTGCATGATAGTCTCATTTCCATCCCCTGATATCAAACCGAAAAATCTCTTGATCATTTTATGATGGCCAATAGAATCAAGAAAAGCGTTCTTTGTCAGAAACTAGTCATTTCATCATGATCATGTAAAATCATGTTTGCATTTTGTTATTGTATATAGAGCTTAAAAATATTTTTTGCATGCTTAAAAAGTACATAAAGGTGCTTGTTTTTTGTTGAAAGATTTGGCTCAGAAATTAAAGGATCTACTCTTTCTTTAAGTCAAAACTTTAAAGTTTTAACTTTTAATAATTAACGTGTCTTTATTAAATTCTGATTGGTCTTCTTTACAGTAAATTTTGCAGTATAAATTCTGTTGATATTTTACACAGATAATTGCTCTGTGAAAGTGTAGAAAAAGTCATGAGCAGGGAAACCTGTCACGTTAACGACTTGTCTAAGTTGAACTCAAGAAATTTAAATACTCTGAGGATTACGAAATAACAAATTAATAATAGTTAATAATTGTCAGAAATTGTATTTGGATGGAATTATCTTCAGTTGAACAAGTTTTATAATTGCTTGTAAAAAGGTTTCTGTGTATTTCTAGAAATATGCATAATCATGCCAAAATCTAAATATTTACCTCAATCGGTTCATCTGACTAAACTTTCCTGAACATGACTGCTTTCACTATGTTAGACTAATCGTGAGAGTTTTTTCTTTTCTTCCAATACTTGAACTAGTAGTTCTCATGTCTTCTGGATTGGATTAAAATCCACTGTTCAGAAGTTTCAAGAAATCGTCGATCACATTTATGTATAAATATTCTTGTATATTTTATTTAAAAAAATATTAGAACTAGAATTTATACTTGGCATCTCTTACATTTGTAAATATTTTTTCTGGTGGGATAATAAATGTGATTAGAGGTAAAAGTAAACTAATACATAATTGTTCATTGAAATTATGCTGCATATAGTTTATTTAGAGCTTCTTGTTTTGAAAATATCAATGATTTGAATTCATAAAAGCATTAATTTTTTGAAATGGGCCATTAATGATTTTACTCAAAAAAATCTATAATTCACTCACAACTGAGTGTTTAATTTGTATTTATATTGCAATATATTTATTTAAAAACTTCATACTAAAGGCTTTTAACTATCTAATTCATTTACATCTGAGTGTCTAATTTGTTTGATGGCTGATGAAATGATGTTCAATTTGTTTGATAATTGATGAAAGAAATAGTGATGTTGGAATAATCATGCTGATGTGTGTATTTAAAAGTTATCCATAATAAAAATTATGATCAACAGTTGAAAGTAAAGTGTTATAAAATAACTAGAAAGATAACTAGTTATAGATAACTAGTTTCTAAAGATTAAAAAAATTGCTTTCTTTAAATTATGAATTTTATTTAATTGAGGCTAATTTTTACTTTAAGATCAATATTGACTTGGATGTTTCCTGCTACGACTGGAACTGCTAAGATTTATGGCCATGCTATTCGCACAGACATGGATTGTATTCGACGAAGTTTAGGAACATGCCCTCACCATAATGTTCTATTTGAGACATTTTTCTTTATTTTTATGCAAACTTAACTGTTTTATGAGGGTTGACTCTATCTATTTGGTAACTGAGGGGATATCAAGTGAAAACTCTGGATTTTCAGATCAGATTTTTCTCAGATTTTCTCTGCTGCCAGATTTTAGTCAAAATCTTGATTAATAATTCTTTACTCCAATAGTGTTTAACATTTGAACTAATGAACGGCAAAAAGTATTGTTCCACCCTATTTGTTGCTTTAGAATGTTTTGGAAACTTGAATAATAATAATAAAAATAATTATTGCTGGATGAAACTTTGTTATGAAATTTCCTAAGGGCAAATAATATCACATTATCCAAGAGCGGTATACTTACTTGCTATTTTTGTAAGTATAATTAAAATCTATTATATGATAGTTTTGAGTCAATCTCTTTCGACTATTTATTTAAAGCTATTTTTAATCCAATTAGCAATTTATAATCAGAAAAACTTATTTAAATTTTGTAGTTTAATTTAAAATAATTTTAACACTTTAATTAAAAATATTCAGTTTTAATTGTTAAATAATAAACCAAATTAGGCAATAGTTATGAATTTATAGAAGTCTTCATAAAACAGCTAAAAATTTTGCTTTAAAATTGTATTTGAATGTTTTTTTCTAAAAAGTATTGTGCCTCTAATATAATTGAGAATACTGGAATTTAGGCTTAGCCATATTATAATTTTTATCTGACATAAATGTTTTGATTAAAACGCATGATTGTATTAATTTTCATCGGGCTTTCTGTACACATTTTAAATATTCTTTCTCTGATTTTAAATTTCATCATTATTCTTTGAACTTAAATTTTGCTGAATTGTAAATGATTGTATATAATTAATACAAAATGTATCAGGAGAAATTTCTAACTGAAAGAAATTTTTATTTTCATAATGCAATTTTATTTCTTGCATTTTTTCTTAATACCAAGAGAAAATGTATTTAATTTTGATTTTTGTGCCCTCCAATATTTTCATATAACTAGATCTCAGATTTTGATTATCTAAAAAATCCCCATAAATGTTCTTAAAAATACAAAAAATGACTTAAAAAATTTTAAAAATTACCCTATTATTACTTTGAAAATATTAAACTGAAACAATGTTTTCCTCTTTAAAATCACTTCATGCAAAATATGTAAAACAATGCAATACGTTTTCTTTTTCGCTTTTGCTTTTACTTATAAACTAGAAATTGCTCTAATTTAATTAATGGGGCTTGTAATAAGAAAAACAGATTTAGTCAAAATGTAATTTTTTTTTCAATTTGTGTATATTTAGTAAAAAAAGAGAGATACTATATGTTAGTAAATGATAAAGAAAAAATAGAAAAAAACTACTTCATGTTAAAATAAAATTTACTACTTTTAATATTCATTACCTCTGTAGTTTTCTTATTTTACTTTAGATATGTATAATTTTACTACATTTCTTCTATGCGTAAATATTTAAATTATATTTTAAATTAATTATATTATAAATTTTTTTTATATTTTAAATTTTGTAAGTGAAAAGGTAGGAAAAGTGTGCTTTTAAAGTTAAATTTTTTTTAACTGTTTTTTACTCGACTAACTAGTATATTTAAGAAAATATGAAATTTGGTAGATTTGCATATAAATCTGGAAAACATGGAAAAGGCAGTAAATTTCCATGCAGAACTTTATCAGATATTCTGATTTGATATCCTATGTTACGTGCAAACAATTTAACTCAGGATTCAAAACAAAATTTCTACTTTCACTTGTTTTGTTTCTCATAATATATCTTCTTGACTTCAAATTATTATTTTTCCTGTTCATGCCAATAATTCTGTTTTAATTTTGAATGAAAACATCCAATATTTTTCTTCGAACTTACGTTTAATTCTTTTTGTAGTTAAATGAGGTTTTTTCTTGAAAAATAATACAGTATTATTTTTTTAACATTAGCCAGATTTTGTATTAGAAATCTGTTCTCGTATGAATAATATGCTTGAAATAAAATTTAAATATAATTGTCATGTGAATCAAAATTAAAGTATGATATTTCTTTATAATTCACTAGTTTGACTGTTCGTGAGCATTTGTGGTTCGGTAGAAAGGAGACGACGAAGTTTCGGAGGAAGAAATGATTAAGGACATGAATCTGAAACAAAAAACAAATGAAATATTCAAAAAATCTCTCTGGTATGCATGTATCTATTTTCTTTATTTATTTTTTATTTCTGTATTACTATGTATTCATGAAATTTGTATTTTATTTTGTAAAATCTACTAGATTTTTTCCATGCTTTTGCAGCAATGCAAATGTAAGAACTTTTATGTGAGATCAATTATTAAACCAATCAAACTTTTCTAACTTATTATTTTTCTTGGTGTCAATTATTTGAGTAATAGTTATAATGTGCATAACTGAAACCGCGGTATTTTATCTTAATTTTCAGGTGGCATGCAAAGAAAATTGTCTATTGGTATAGCGTTTGTGGGTGGATCTCAAACAGTTATTTTAGATGAGCCCACAGCTGCTGGTGTAGATCCTTATGCCAGGAGATCCATTTGGGAATTGCTTTTGAAATACAAGTCAGGTAATGCATTGTATGATTTTTTAGCTTAATGTATTTTTTTATTTATCTCTAACTATTTATTTAGGAAGTTTGTTTTATTAATGATAATAACATATTTTTTAAACAAGGCAAAGCATTTTAAAGCACCATTATCTGTTGTTGTCGTAAGCCATTAAGTCAAGGGGTGCGACAATTACTGAAATTACATTTTTAAGTTTTTCTGAAACTAAAAAAAAAATAAGTGACTGATAAAAAAAATGGCTATATCTGTATAAAATTAAAAATGCAGTTCAAATTCTAATTTTTTAAAAATAAATATTGCCCATACTTAGCTTTTGGTGTTATACATTAACTATAGTTAAAAGTAGTTTAGTGTTTAAAATTTTTCCCTATTCATCACTTTTAAGACCTGACCTAGAGAACTATTATACAATGGAAACCCAGAAAAATTCATTTCAGAATTTAAAGATTCAAATGAACCCAAAAATTTTGAAGAAGAGTTCATTTCAGATGCTAAGGAAAGTGAACTCAACTGGCATTCTCATCAGAATCATCATAGTTGACCAGACCGCCCAATGTGGGCCAATGCCTTCCTCTGAAGATTTCTCCATAACGACTTCCAACAGGCATTCTATGCCAAGTTAAACATTAGCTTCTCTAACCGAGTGTGGCACTATAATTGTCAGTCATGAACCTGGAAAAGCTGTGAAGCAAAGTTATTTTTAAAAAATATTACCTCAACCATTGTTAACAGTTTATCCAGAGTTTTCTTTCTTTAATCCTGTTAGCTCTTATTTATCTGGATAGTCAGTGCTTTACTGTGTGGCATAACTACCACTACGATTATTAAACATAAATTCACTAGTATATAAGACGTCTCAACTCAATTCAATCACGCTTCTGAAGCTTGGACAATGACAAAATTGTATCGCAATATTTGAGAGAGAGATTTTGCGGTGTATACTTGGTGGTGTAAATGAAAACAATAACTGGAGATTTAACTTTGAACTGTACAAGAGATTTATAAACACAACCCGATATTATTAAATACATTAAAATAAATAGAATGAATTAGATCGCCCACGTGATTCGAATGAGTGACGACTACACAATAAAAAAGATACTGCTTTATAGACCCACAGGGAAAAGAAAGCGGGGAAGGCCGCGGTTGAGATGGGCTGACTCAGTGGAGTCTGATTTTCTCGCAATTAGTGAAAAAAATTGGAGATCAAAGATAAATCGGAAGTCGTCATGGAGAAATCTTCAGAGGAAGGCATTGGCTCACATTGGGCTGTCTGGCCAACTATGATGATGAACTCAAATCAATCTTGAGATACCTTTTGATGGATGAAGGTTGACATAGTCGAAATCTCTAACCCCACAACTGTGTATGGATAAAAATTTTAAATGGAAAACCACTTAACGTTTTTTACATTTCATTCTTTTTAAAAAATTTAATTTTTACACCTTATTAACTTTCTCTGTTGATAATTTAATTATTGTAATGTTATTACTGTATATGAATAACCTGCATTTTTAATTTTTTAATGAATCACTAAAACTTTTTCTTATGTTTTTGGAGAAATAAAATTTTCCATAAAAAAATCAGAACGCTGAAAGATTTTTATCGAGACACTTTGAATTAATGCCTCTACATTGTGGATGCTGCAAATTACTTTTTCCATGTTCCCTGAAATTAGTTTGAAAAACAGAAATAAAATTTTTATGTGATATGTCATTTTTTCAAAAGAATTTTCAGTTTTTTGCGTGTTTCTACAATTTATTATTTTTTTTTTGATCAAAAGTTATTCAGTGATCTTCCAATCATTAGATCAAAAGTTATTCAGTGTGGTCCATTTTTTATTCTGCTCACTATACAAATGCTTTTCTTCATAAATAAGTTTACTGCTGTTTTTTTTCTCCTTATTAGAATATTTTAAAATACATATAAACGCAGTTAATTATTTTGAACAAATCCTTAAATTTGCTGATTCTCTTATACAGGTTGTACAGTCATATTAACTACTCACCACATGGATGAAGCCGATTTACTGCGTGATCGAATAGTGGTTATAAACAACGGGAAACTCGGTGAAGTCTTGCGATTACAATCTCTCTCAGAGAAACAGCAGGGGATCTTCGAGTACAGTGAAAGATAACTCCACCACCAAAAGCACTACTAGTGTAAGTAGAACTCCGTGGAAAAATATGTACTGTATTTTTTTCAACCATTGAACACCGTTTAACACGTTCACTGACGTGTCACCCATATTTGGGAGAGAGCAAAAATTCTGATCATGCCGCGTCCCTCGTATTGATAAAAAAACTATAAGGTCAAGAAATTACTTACATATATAAATTCTATACTAGTGCTGTAATTCTACAGAAATTTCAAACTTGTTTGGAAAATTTGGAGGATACATTAAGCATTACACCAATAGCAGTAACCTCTGTATTGATCAGCAATACAATGGAAAAATTCTAAGTCTGTGATATTTTTATTATAATATTTTTATTTAAAATTTTTTGTTTCCATGGCAAAGCTAAATATGCTGCACACACTGCTGTGGCATAGTAGTTCTATTACCCAAAACACCATAAATTATTAAGCAGCTTTCAAATTATTCAGATTAGAGTTGAATTAAATCAGGGTATTTTACAATATTAGTTATTTAACAAAGAAATACTCCAGCTGTATTTTACAAAATATATTATTGTGTTTAATAGATACTTTCAATTGCAAAATTTCATTTTAGAAATTAGTTAAAATTCATTTAGAATTCATTTTTCGCAAGGAAATGAAAACATAACATTTCAGGTTTGTTCCAGACCTTGTCAATGCATTTCATATTAATCCTATGGGAAAATTTTTGTTTAGTTCCTTTTTGTAATTTTTTGCTTTTAGCTAATCACAAATTGTTACCAGCATGCAGCCAGTTTCCATACAATAACCACGAACTCTGCAATTGTAAGGAGGCTTATAGCCTTATTTCATTGTATTGGCATTTGCATTAAATCAGACTTCAATATTTTCCATAAAACAGATCTACTTTTGTAGGAAATATAATTTAAAAAATAATTTACACTAACAGATTACTTAGTTTCCAGTTCATTGTAACCCTTACCAATGTGGCTTGACTTGGACGTGCATCCTCTTTTCTAGGAAATGACGGAGGAGGGTGTAGCAGATATGTCTACAGTTGATTCAAAATCAGATTTATCTGAAAACAATGTTCTACCTGACAATGGATTTAATTCCACGTTCAGTTCTCCTTGGGGTAAGCATCTAATTTCTTATCAATTCATGTTTTAGTTCAGTGTTTCTTTTATTTAATTATTTTTCAAGCAATTCAAAAGTTTTTAAACACTCTTAAAAGCTCCCTTTTATTTTTATTTCGATCTTTTTATCAGTACTAAATCATTCATTTTAACCCAACCAAGTATTAATTCAATTTTATCATTCGTAGTTAGAGTTAGTTCAGTTGGTTTGATCGTAATAGTTTGATCGTAATCGTGAGTAGTTGGTTTGATCGTAAAATAGCACTCAAAAATCTTTTGAAGTAAATACTACTCTCCCAGACAATAAATAAATAAAGTAAAAAAAAATTATGCGTGAAAAGAACAAGTAAATAGCATCAATTAGTGGTATTCGTTCATTGAATTCTATCACTGATAAAATTCTGGAAGGGGAGTAATGTGGCATGTATACCACTAAAATTATTAAATACCAATTCACTAGTAGGATAAACCAACCAGTGAAGGAACACTACCCAGTGAAGGAACATTTCATATATATTGATTAAAAATAAGAATTTGAAAGTTTTTCTTTAGATTGATTGGTAACAATAGCTTACTGCCAAACAATAGGAAGTCATCTAGCAATGTTTTGGATTACCTGGTCAAATA